CTTTTCCTGGCCGGCGCCTGCGACGGCTGGCGGCGGTGGCGGCGGCCGGGAGCGTCGACGAGGACGCCGGCGACGACGATGACGACGACGACGACGATGCACCGCCACCATGCCTTGGTTTTGGGTCAGAGTCCTAATGGATGCCTCCTGGGTTCTCGTCGGAGGGCTCTCGGGGGCCTCTGAAGGGCATTTGTGAAGCCTCCTGAGCGCCTCTTGGGCGTCCCTTGGGGCCTCTCTGAGGTGGTGGTGGTGCTGGGCTGCGGTGGTGGTGTTGGTGGTTGTGGCGGTGGTGGTGGAGGTGGTGGTGGTAGTGGTGGTGGTGGTGTGGTGGTTGTTGGTGGTGGTGGTGGTAGTGGCTGTGGTGGTTGTTGTGGCAGGCTTTGGTGGTGGCTGTGGCGGTGGTGGTGGTGGGTTGTGGTGGTGGTGTGGTGGTTTCTGGTGGTGGTGGTGGTGATAGTTGTGGTGGTGGGTGGGTTGTGGTGGTGGTGGTGGTGGTTGTGGTGGTGGCGGAAGTGGTTTGTCGTGGTGGGTGTGGTGTCAGTACTGGTTGTGGTGGAAGTGTGTTGCGGTGGTGGTGGTGGTGGTCGTAGTGGTGGTTCTTGTGGTGGTGGTGGTGGTGGTGGTGAGGTGGTGGTGGAGGTGGGTTGTGGTGGTGCGGTGGTTTGTGGTGGTGGTTGTGGGTTGTGGTGGTGGTGGTGGCGGTGATGGTGGTGTCTGTGGTGTGGTGGTTGCGGTGGTGGTGGTGGTGGTGGCGGTGGTGGTGGTGGGTTATGGAGGTGGTGCTTGTGGTGGTGGTGGTGGTGGTGGTGGTGTGGTGGTTTGCGGTGATGGTGTTGGTGGCGGTGGTAGACTGTTCTGGTGGTGAGGTGGTGGTTGTGGCGGTGGTGGTTGTGGTGGTGCTGGTGTTGTGTTTTGCGGTGGTGGTGGTTTTGGTGGTGGTGGTGGTTGTGTGGTGGTTTGTGGTGGTGGTGGTGGTGTGGTGGTCTGTGGTGGTAGTGGTGGTGGGTTGTGCTGGTGGTGGTGGTGTGGTGGTTGTGGCGGTCGTTGTGTTGGTGGTGGTGGTGGTGGTGGTGTGGCAGATTGTGGTGGTGGTGGTGGTAGTGGTGGTGGCTCTTGTGGTGGCGGTGGGTTGTTGTGGTTTTGGTGGTGGTGGTGGTGGCTGTGGTGGTGGTGGTTGTGTGGTGGCTCGGGGTGGTGGTGTTGGGTTGAGGTGGTGGTGGTGGTGGTAGTGGCGGTGGTGGTGGTGGTGGCGTGGTGGTTTGTCGTGGTGGTGGTGGTGGTGGGCTGTGGTGCTGGTGGTGTTGGTGCTGCTGTTGGTGGTGGCGCTGGTGGTGGGTGCTGGGTGGTGGGTGGTGGGTGGTGGTGGTGGTGGTGGTTGTGGTGGTGGTGGTGGTGTGGTGGTTTGTGGTGGTGGTGGGTTTTGGTGGTGGTGGCAGTGGTGGTGATCGTGGTGGTGGTATGGTGCTTTATGGTGGTGGTTGTGGTTTGTGGTGCTGGTGGGTTGTGGTGGTTTGTGATGGTGGTGGTGGCGGTGGTAGATTGTTCTGGTGGTGAGGTGGTGGTTGTGGCGGTGGTGGTGGTGGTGGTGGTGGTGCTGGTGTGGTTGTTTGCGGTGGTGGTGGTCTTGGTGGTGGTGGTTGTGTGGTGGTTTGTGGTGGTTTGTGGTGGTGGTGGTGGGTTGTGGTGGTGGTGGTGGTGGGTTGTGCTGGTGGTGGTGGTAGTGGTTATGGCGGTCGTGGTGGTGGTGGTGGTGTGGTAGATTGTGGTGCTGGTAGTGGTGGTGGTTGTTGTGGTGGTGGTGGTGGTGGTGGGTTGTTGTGGTTGTAGTGGTAGTGGTGGTGGTGGCTGTGGTGGTGGTGGTGGTGGTGGTGGTGCGGTGGTTTGGGGTGGTGGTGGTGGGTTGAGGTGGTGGTGGTGGTGGTGGCGGTGGTGGTGGTGGTGGCGTTGTGGTTTGTCGTGGTGGTGGTGGGCTGTGGTGTTGGTGGTTTTGGTGCTGCTGCTGGTGGTGGTGGTGGTGGGTGGTGGCTGGTGGCGGTGGTGGTGGTGGTGGTGGTTGTGGTGGTGTTGTGGTTTGTGGTGCTAGTGGGTTTTGGTGGTGATGGTGCTGGCGGTGGTGGTGATGGTGGTGGTGGTGGTGTGGTGCTTTGTGGTGGTGGTTGTAGTTGTGGTTTTGGTGGGTTGTGGTGGTTGTGGTGGTGGTGGCGTTTCTGGTGGCTGCGGTTGTGGTGGTGTAGTTGTTTGTGGGGATGGTGGTGATTGTGGTGGTGGTGGGTTGTGGTGGTTGTGGTGGTGGTGGTTGTGGTGGTGGTGGTGTTGTGGTGGTGTTGTGGTTGTGGTGGTGGTGTGGCCTTGGGTCTTCCCGCCTCCGTGTTTTGGCTTAGGGTCAAAGTTCTAATTGATGCCTGTTGAGGTCTAGTCAGAGGGGTCTCGTAGGCGTCTGGGGAGCATTTGTGAAGCCTCGGGCGAGAGCTCGGTATAGCGCTTTGCGTTTCCCCCCTGCGGCCTCCTTGCCCTCTCTGGTTATAGTTGCTGCGTCCCCGCCGTCGGCGCTGCTGGCTGCTGGCCGCTGCCAGCGCCGGCGCTGGCGCCTGCGCTGGCCGGGGGGGGGTTGGAACCTCCCCATCCCCCCTCCGCTCCCTGAGCCCTCCCTGGTCATCGTTGCTGCGTCCCCGCCGTCGGCGCTGCTGGCCGCCACCAGTGACGGCGCCGGCGCCGGGGTAGGGGGAGGGGGGGGTTCGGGGGGGAGGGGAGTCCCCCTGGTATTGACGGCGCCGAGTGTTGGGGGGGCCCCCCGTAAAGGCGCGCGAACGCCCCAGGGGTCCGTTCCCGTTCCCGCTCCCGTTTCCGTTCCGGTGCCCGCCGCCCGTGCCTCTTCCAGAGGATATAAGGGGAGGAGGGAGGGAGGGAGAAGGGACGAGGGAGGGACAGAGCAGCACATCATAGAAACATAACATCAACATAAGAGAATAGCGTATGTATATCTATGTGTACATAAGTGTACATGTATATATGTTCGTATATGTACAGGTGTCTGTACATGTACATGTAGTTGTGTGTAGTTGTGATGTTTATGTTTGAGTTTGTACATCTGTATGTATCGGAATATATATATATGATGCATGCGGACCGAGAGCCCCAAGAGGACCGCAAGAAGGCCCCAAGAGGGCCCCATCATTGGTCACGCGAAAGAGCTCTCGCGTGACCGATCTTGGGCCCTTCTTTCGGCCATCTTGAAGCTCCAAGCGGGGCCCAACATGACCCCAAGAGGGCCCCGAGGGGGCCCCAAGATGGCCCCAAGAGAGCTCCAAGGGGGCCCCAACATCGGTCACGCGAAAGAGCTCTCGCGTGTCCGATCTTGGGCCCCTCTTTCGGCCATCTTGGAGCTCCAAGACGGGCCCAAGATGGCCCCCAGAGGGCCCCGAAAGGGCCCCAAGAGGCCCCCAAGAGGGCTCCAAGAGGGCCCCAACATCGGTCACGCGAAAGATCTCTCGCGTGACCGATCTTGGGCCCTTCTTTCGGCCATCTTAGAGCTCCAAGAGGGGCCCAAGAGGGCCCCGAGAGGGCCCTGGGAGGGCCCCAAGAAAGCCCCAACATCGGTCACGCGAAAGAGCTCTCGGGTGACCGATCTTGGGCCCCTCTTTCGGCCATCTTGGAGCTCCAAGAGGGGCCCAAGATGGCTCCTCTTGGAGTTCCAGCATGGCCATCTTGGAGCTTCAAGTTGGGCCCACCATATGTACAAACTCAAACACATACAACACATATACACACAACTACACACATTTACAAACACCTATACATATACAAACAAACCCATATACATTTACACACATGTACACATAGATACACATACGCTTCGAGTGAAGGAGGAGCAGAGGGAGAAGGAGGGGAGGGCTGATGCCGCGCGCGCAGCTTCCCAGACAGCTGACGTCATGAGTTGTTCGCAATGGGGCTCCCCTGAAATGTGGGCCTCTTCCCGGTAACCTGCTTTTCATCGTGGGTCGTTGTTTGACAGCCCCGGGGCCAGGCCCCAGAAGCTGAAAGTGCCACAAACCGTTCGTCGTGTTTTTTCCCCATTGAACTCCAATGGTGCCGTTTGGAGCCCAATGGAGTCCGATGGGGGCCCAATGGAGTCCAATGGAGTCGCATGGAGTCCAAAGGAGTCCAGTGGGGTCCAATCGTACTCATTCACATGGAGTTCACGGAAGCCCATTGGAGTCCAATGGAGTCCAATGGAGATCAATGGAGTCCAATGAAGTCCAATGGAATCGTATGGTTGTTCGAATCGAGTCTAATGGAGTTCAACATAATACTATGGGGCCCGATGGAGTTCATTGGAGCCCAATGGAATCCTGTGGCGTTTGGTGGAGTCCAACTGAGCCCTTTCGGTCAACTCGAATAGCCTTACGTCGAGCCATCGCTCGCAAATATGATGATGTACATACTCTGTAATGTGCCAGCTTGTGTTGAATTCGAGTTGCAAATATCTGATGTAAGACACGTAAGACACGTAAGATATGGCATTCAAGACTGCTGAGATGGTCCAGTATGGCTTCCAGGACGGCCAGCATGGCCTTCAAGACGG